GGGCGAGTCACACACACTCAGCCTCAGAAAAACCCATGATAGTTTTGCCTTAAGTGTATTCTGAAATCTCTTGTAGTGATGCACCAACAAAACATTTTGCAAACTCTGCCTAGAGATTCTTTAAATGGAAATGTTTTGGTTTGAATTTAAATGCCAAGCACATATTCCAGTCCCTAAGATATGTTCCAGATCAAGAATATCTGTATGTTTAGGTGTAAATGTATCCCTTTTATGAGGACACAATGGCCACCATCCAGCCTTGAAAATAAAGCATGGAGATAAAATTGTACACTCTTTTTCAAAAACAGCCCTAATAGAATGCTGGTAGTGTATTTTCCATTTAACTTCATGTAGTCATCATTCCTTGCTCTTGATGGTGGTTCACTAAATTAAAAATAAAAACATGTCAATCTTTTATGAAAGGAGATGCAACACAACGTTAGTTTAGCCAAGCTTTTATGTTTTCTTTTCCAACATTGGACCACAGATGGCTGATGTTAATAACCTATTAATATTCAAGTTTGTGTTTCTGTGCAAACAGGCATTTGCCAGGAACCCCACTCTTGTTTAAGGAAGGTTTTATGAAACTGCAGCTGGAAAATGTGATAACCAGGCCAAAGAAAATAAATGTCGTAAGTAGAAATTAGAGTGATCCCCAGTTGGAAACTATTGTGTGCAACTACTAAAGCATTTAAAATTCATTTTCATGAGAACAAACGTTCCAAAAGTTTTAGGTGAAAAGTGTTACCTTCAGTTATTTTCCCCAGGGCACTTCTTCCCTCAGGAGAAGTGGAAAATATTCATATAGTTTGTGGCACCATTTAATCCCACCCACTCAACTGAACATTTAGACAGTGATAGTAGCAGTATGTTGTGAGTCTCTTCCCAGCCCTGGATTGGGTACCAGTTCAACATCTCCCCCCACCCCCACTTCAGATTACACTCTTCCTAGCAGGAGTGAGAGATGCCACTAGCCTGACAGATTTGGCTATATGAATATATAACTCATGACACAACAAGATGAGTCAGACTAAAGACAATGTTTCTTGAATACATATTGTTACCATCCTCCCTCTGAATTAGATTTGTTTAAACACAGTGATCTTGTCATTTTGCTAGATGTATCTATCTGATGATATCATTGTTGCTCAAAGGAGGAAGGCTGAAACATGGGCCAGTCAGGCTACAAACATCTTGAACAAGGAGGAAAAATGTGAGGTTGGGGGGAAGTTGAGATGAACACTCTTCTCCCCATTCCTTTTTCATTGCAAATGGGTGGTGGAGAAAAAAACAGTCCTTAATGAGATTTAGCCATGACTGTTTTTAGGATTTAAATTAGTCTGTAGAATTAATATGTATAGAGATTTTGTAGAACCTTTGAGACTACTGAACAAAAGAAAAAAAGAGGTTTGTAGCATGAGCTTTCATATACTTTACTTCTTCAGATGCTTATGGTGGATTGAAAGCCAGGGACAGACAGGAGGAGTGCAGGAGTTTAACTGAAGATAACTGAAAAAAAAAATGTTGGTTACTGTAGACCCAGTCAGCCTGAGTAGAATCCATGAGCTCTACATGATATGTAGTTTGCAAAGGGCTCCCCACATGTAGGTTCTTAGGAACGACATCCCATTGTTTGCACTTGTTGAGAAAGAAGATATCTATTGGTATCTGGACAAGTTTCTTGAAGAGGCTGATGATTTCCACTTTATTTGGCTAAATTTGTTGCTTTCCATAGTGGAAGAATTTAAAGATATGGCCGTGTTAGTCTGTAGAGTTAATATGTATAGACATTTTATAGCACCTTTGAGACTGACTGGAAAAAAAGAAGAGGTGTGTAGCATGAGATTTCATAGACTTTAGTCTATTCTTCAGATGCTTATGGTGGATTGAAAGCTTCTTTTCCCCCCCTTTCTAATAAAAGGCTTTACTCTTTTACACTTCTGTGTTTCTAACATTTGAAAACAGGCTTGCACTCTCAGTTTGCTACAAGCTGTCTTACAGTTTATATATTAAATACAATCTGTCTTCTGGGATGGCCCGAATCTGGTTGTGGCACAATTGGTTTTACCCCACCACCCTTCTTTGTTTCATCTGTGGCTACAACAATTTACCTAATAGCATTTTTATTACAAGACCTCTCAGGTGACCACCTTGGACTTACATCAAAGGTGGGCAAGAAACACTTATCTGAGTGTGTTGCCTGCCACATACTCTTATAATTGGGTCTTCTGACTGCGACACAGAGACCCCCA